TTTTTGTATAGACTCTGAGGTGTATTTGTAGTACATGGATATACAGTTGACTTTAGGAGATGGCTTGGAATGGTTGCAGCGAAATTCAGATTATCGAGCCCAGGAAGGTGCATCCTGGGTTCTTTCTGCAGTGCTTGATGAGTAGGTAGTGTAAGCGGCAAGAGGATCCGTCTTTGATTTTCGCAGTTCCGATGGCTGTCCATGCCAGTTCACCGTCTTGGTCCACGTCCTGGTTGAGGAACTTCCTTCGCCACTACCGCCACTTGGTGAAAGACCAGAATGCTGCTGAGCCAGATTCACCTCTTCAATGGACATGTTCAATGATTCCATCAATCGCTTCGCGGCGTCGCCTTGTACGTAGTTCAAGTGAACGGCCTTGGGAATAGAATAACGTCGACCAGTGTCGGGAACTACAATTTCACCGGTGAGAACATCAAGTAGGCCGGTTTCAGCTGCTTCGCGCACTGAAAGCCGTTGACCTCCGGATGGATTCGTAATGACTTTCTCGTCGGTGTCGAAACGATTCGCTTCCAAATTCGCGAGGAACTCGTGCTGCAAATCAGCAAGAGTGGATGGGTCATCGATGATGCTGTGGATGCGATCTCCTATGTTGGTCTGCGAATGTCTCATCTTGACCGTGAGAGATGGCTCTTGTTTCTGAGGTGTTAACCGTATGGTAGTGCTCTCCTCCCTAAACTTGGGTACACTCGTCCTGCTTCCCCTTTGTCCTCCGTCCACGTTCTCGATCTTGAACTTGTATCCTTCAGCATCCCGCCGTTTCACCGCTTCAGCAACCGCCTGGGCAGCTTGCATAGGCGATGCTATAAGCGCAATGAGACCTCCTTTGACTGCATCCCTCAATGTCATTCTGAGGTTCCCAGCGATATACTTTCCATCGTTGTCGATTTTCTTACGAGATAGAGCTTCCCTTAGTGTAAGCGTTTGTCCACTCTCGAGGTCGTGAAGCAATGAGTCACCATCGATTACATCGCGTTCGACGGCGTCTTTGAAAGTGAGGTGCAGACCGGTCTTTTTGTCACGGATCCTGCCAGAGTTCTCATCGAACTCTTCAGAGGTAAGAATGTTGCACAGATTTTTCTCATCGGAACCTTCCATAGCTTCAACATTGCCTGTGTC